TAGAATTAATTTATGATTTTAAATATAATTTATTAATTGTAACATTACGCGTTGCATATTTTATAATTTTTGAAAACGCATTTACGGTATCGGCGGGATTCGCATCTACGACTTTTTAGAGTATTAATCTAATATGCTAACGCTGAGCTACGAGCTCGTATAATTGCACGCTTACTGAAAGAAGTATTTATATGATTATACTGAATTTTTCACGATTTTACTAGCATAATCATGTAATATTACAATCCACATGGAAAATTACAGATTAACCTTACATGCAATATGTATTTTTGGAATTCCATTGAACATTGAATTTCACATACAAAATGTAGAATATAAAGGCAAGCTAGCCTCTTTGTGTCACGTCTCTGCCTCTCATCTTTTTTTTAGCGCGTTGAGTATACAGATTCTGATTGGCTACAATCATACAATAAATGTAAAATTCCATTTTTCTGTGATTTTGCATGGAACTATTTTTTTTGTTTTATACGTTGTAAAAATACCGCTTAAATTTAAAACTACAAGTTATTTTTACATAAAAGTAGTACTTTCACATATATTTTACTATTAATATGTATTTTTATTTTTTAAAATCTGGAAAAGAAAATTTCCAGTCATATTTAACTAATTTTTCATAAACATGTAATATCTATATAAAAGCAAATGTATTTTTTAAATGTATATACGTGTTTGTATATATATACATAATATCTCTCTGTATTCACAGAAAAATATCATTCTACTACTAAGAAAAATCATTACTCAGTTTACTTTTTTTTTCAAGTAATAATTAATATACGAGTATCTCTAAAAAAGAATATTTTCTTTATAATAAGTCTCAAAACTTATTACAAATTTTTAGAAAACTCATTATCATGTACTTAATAAAAATTTATTTTCTTTCGAAGATTTTATATAATAAGTAAATCGAATTTGTTTTAATTCATTAATCTAATTAAAGTATTAAATTTATTATCGTATTCAGAGATTATATTTTGAATTTTGATGAATTTTGATAGATTTGCGAATACATGAACTTTTGAAATACTTTATACAAGTAATTATTTGCATTTACCTACAGTATGTATTTTTCTGAGTGAATATTTTATCTCATTTTAATTTATACTGTCTCATTCTATAACTTTAATTAAGGTTATAGAGTGAGACTAATAAGTATCTGGACATGAGACAGTAAATTTTAATTGATCTACCATGTTTAGTCAATTCCCGAGAGATAGAGAGAGAGAGAGAGAGAGAGAGAGAGAGAAAAAATTACTTAACTTTAATTAAGGTTATAGAGTAACATAGTATAAGTTAGAGTGAAATAATAGTAATATTTTATTAGGCTGTTTAATATTTTGCATAGTTTTGATAAAATCGCGTTGTGTTCAAGGAATCAATTGTATATATTGAAATGAAGTAAAAATTGTAGAAGTGAGTACAAAATTATTAGAATATTTATAATTTCATTAACTTAATGAATTTGTTCGTTTTTTATAACTTTTACCCCTAATACACACAATTTGTATTCTACATTTCCTTTTTTTCTTTGAAATAGGAATTAATTTGATTAAATAATATCTTTTACTTTTTTAAAAATACATTTATGTACTTACTTTATGGAAATGTTAAAGTATATATACAAATTATTTATTAACTTTTTGTACATTTATAAAAGTAATGAAAATTAATCCGGGATATAAACGATCCATATGTACAATAAAGGAATATATTATATGTGTTATATGTGTCATTGTATTATATAATATGTGTTAAGATACACACTCGAGCTCCAGATTCTTATTAGAAGGTTTTTAATAGAGGCGGATGAGCATTATTCGACGTGAGACGGAAGAAAAAATTAATCGTATTATATCTGACTATAATTTATAACCGCAAAATTTGCGGTCAAAAGTTGCATAAACAGCAATTTGAGCGCGTTCCCGATTGATATTTGAACGCGATCAATCGAATAACGCGGTAAAAGTACACTCGATTACTCACGATAACGTAAAACAAATTCATTGCCGCCTTGTTTTTCGAAGTTTTTTCCGGCTGCGTGCAACTACATTTTTTTATGAAAGCCACGTCATGGTGTGAAAAATGCGTTTGCCCTCAGTAAATACGCGACGAGAATTAGCCACCGATGTTTTCGGGCGCGTCAGATCATTTAAAGTCCCAGCTGCGAGTCGCGCAGAGAAATTAACGTCGTTACGTCGATAGTTAATTTTGATTATCAATTATTTGCCAACGAAATGACGATCGGGCAAATTTGCGTGAGAAATTCACGCAAAAATCAAATTCAAATCAATTCTCGTGACGTCGTACGTGATTTGCTATGCGCTCCGGTCAAAATTATACCGTCGATTAATTAATATTTGATATCTAACCCAATTAGATGAAACGCGGTTCCATTAGGAAATATTCGCTTAAACGTTATATAATGTACGGGGCGGAAAATTAAACTATACGATTTACTAATTGAACAATAATCAACAATCTGGCGCAACGTTGCGTTATTAATATATAATATATGGAAGACGCGAGCTGCTGTCTACATACAGAAAGTATAAATCTAACACGCCAGTTATTACTCAGCCAGCTTAGACGGGCTGAGACTGGTTATCGTTATTTTGAGACTACATATCAACGCGTGAACATGAAACACACATGCGTAATGCGACCGTGAAGCTAAAACTAGAAGAGCTATTTCTATATATTCGCGAAGTCTTCGTATCCAAAGGAAATCTATGCACGGTCATTCATTAGTCACAAAGGACTATGAAACACCCGGTTTAATGAACAAAGAAATAATTGCAGTGTTACTCAAAGTGGCCTGAACTTACGTTACTCATTTCTGTATTGCACGTTTCAGCGAATTTTTTTCTAATTGCTTTCATTATTATCTCGTACCAAGTTGTGTTGAAAGTGTGTTAAAAGTGGAAAAAGTACCAAACGTGTCAATTTTATCGTCGTTCGATTAAGAATTTAACAGTTCTTTGTGAAAGTGCCTCTACATAAAATATTTACTTTGTGGAAGCAAAGATCTTAAAATATAAAAATGTAATATTGTTAAAAATTAGAATAAGAAAAGAATTAAGTTATTTTTTTTAATGATTTTCCAGATAAATAGTGAAATAAAACTTAAGTTTTTAATCATGAAGTCTAATATAAGAATCGTCCAACATTTTCACGAATAATGTATCACGTGATGTGGAAAAATTGATAGACTGAGAATTTTCAATCTAATTAACCTAATTACTTAAATAAACAAACATTTTATTGATTAGTATTTTCACACCATGTTCTCTCTCTCTCTCTTTCCCCCCTCTCCCTCCCTCCCTCTCTCTCTCCTCTCTCTCTCTCTCTC